CATTTTCTGCGTCGCATGAGAAAAGCACATCTTCCTTCCCCTGTCCTGACCACTTTCTACAGGGGGACGATGGAGAGCATCCTGTCACACAGCATCACAGTCTGGTTTGGAAGCATCCCTGCTTCAGACAGGAAGGCGGTGCAGAGAGCGGTGAGGATGGCAGAAAAGATCATGGGCAGTTCCCTCCCTTCCATCCAGGACATGGCACAGAAGCGCTGCTTGAGCATGGTCTGCAAGATTATCTGGGACACTACACACCCTCTCCATGACCTGTTTTCCTTGTTCCCTTCTGGGAGGAGGGGGGCTCCGTGGTATCCGAAGCAGAACATCCAGATTCAGCCAGAGTTTCATTCCATACAGCATTATTAACCTTGTGAACTCTCCAGCTTCCTCCTTCCATTATATATTCAAGATGGACAGTATTTAATATTTATTTGCTACGTATATGTAGGGATATGGGTCTATACATACGTTGTTCATCGTATGTTTAGGTGTGCGTCATGTATGTGTTTCACTTTGAGAGCGGGCAACTAAATTTCATTTTTGATGTGTGCCCTTGTGCCCACAGTAAAAAAAATGACAATGACGGTTATCTTAGCTTATCTTATCCATCTTAAATTGAACCAACATCACAGCAAGATGCGTAACTTGGTCCTGGCTCAGCTGTGTTTGGAGACGGTAGCACTGGATGCGCCCAGAAGGTGGCGCTATTGTCACTTGCAAGACCCGTGCAGCCCAGTAGCTGATTTCCAGCAGATCTGACTGAATTTATTATTATATTGAACACATAATAATGTTCGTTTATGGTTGCATTTATAGCCATTTTGGGTGGGGATAGGACAGTGGTGGGATTCAAATAGGTGAACAACCGGTTCTCTGTGTGGATGCCGCTTCCGGAAGTCCGTTCTGGGCCTGGGCAACAAAAAATTGAGCTACCGGTTCTGCCGAAGTGGTGCCAACCGGCTGAATCCCACCACTGGGATAGGCTATTTATTATGTTTTTCGTATTTGTTGTCTTTTATACTATTGCTGCGCACCATCCAGAGTCACCTTTTTGGCGAGATCTATTTATTTATTTATTTGAAACATTTATATAGACGCCCATCTTCAGACAACGCTGTGTGGTTATCCATAAAAAGCAGGTTTTTAGGGCTTAATGCAGGGGTAGGCAGCCTTGGCCTAATGGAAGGCTGAACAAGTGGGGGCCTGCCAGACATCAGGGGGGCAGAGGGGCTGCCCCAGAAAAGCCCCCTTCCCAGCCCCCATCAGATGGCAATTCTTGGGGAGGGACCCAGGAGCATGCCCACCTTCTCTGATCTGGTGGGATGGGTGGATCTCCTTAGGGAAAGAGGGTCCCGTGGGTATCCTGGCTCAGGCCCAGGTGGGGCTTTAAATGCCTCTGGGTTCGCCCACGTAGCCCCTCTGTTGTGCTAGCTGCACCAGCTCTGTTTCCTTCCCGGTGCAATTCCAGGTCTGCTAAGAACCTCCCTTGTTATCTGGAGAGGACACAGTCATGGTCCTGTTTCTTCATAAGGCCTTGGAGAACACCTGGCTAGGTGCCCAGGACACTGAGGTGTTAAGGATCCCATTTCCTGGTTATCTCCACATTTATGGGTTATAAAAGAAGAGGGAGTCAAGGTAGTTTCCAAAGTGCCTGAAGGCCGGACAAGGAGCAACGGGTGGAAACTCATCAAGGAGAGAAGCAACTTAGTTAGAACTAAGGAGAAACTTCCTGACAGTTAGAACAATTAACGATGTAAAAAAGATGTTGAGACTCTAAAAAGAGTACAGAGAAGAGCAACAAAGATGATTAGGGGACTGGAGGCTAAAGCATATAAAGAACGGCTGCTGGAATTGGGTATGTCTAGTTTAATGAAGAGAAGGACGAGGGGGGACATGATAGCAGTGTTCCAGTATCTCAGGGACTGCCCCAAAGAAGAGGGAGTCAAGCTATTCTCCAAAACTCCTGAGGGCAGGACAAGAAGCAATGGATGGAAACTCATCAAGGAGAGAAGCAACCTAGAACTAAGGAGAAATTTCCTGACAGTTCGAACAATTAACCAGTGGAACCACCTGCCTCCAGAAGCGGTGAATGCTCCAACACTGGAAGTTTTTAAGAAGAGACTGGACAGCCATTTGTCTGAAATGGTATAGGGTTTCCTGCCTGAGCAGGGGGTTGGACTAGATGACCTCCAAGGTCCCTTCCAACTTTATCATCATTATTATTATTATTATTATTCTGTCTGGGCTGCTATTTAACTTTTTCTTGCAATCTCCCAGTAATTTTGCTTTTAATTGATGTCACGACAGCCCAGTGTCCCTTGTTTTGAGAGGAGCGGCCTTGCAATTTGCATAAAAAACAGACAAAATAAAAATATTTTTTCTCCTTTTTTCAGCCTGGTGGGCCAACCCAAACCTCATAAGAGCCTGGGAGCTAAACTGCGGACTTAGACTCCTGACCTCTGCTGGATCAGGAATTCTAGGCGTGGAAGTTGTAAAGTCATAAATTTGCCACAGTTCTCACCTTAGGGGCTCTCATTACTCAGGGCAAGGCCGAGCACGGAAGCCTTCGGCCTCTCCGTCTCTTCTCAGTTTCCTTCCGAAACTTTCCCCAACGAGAGCAGCAGACGCCCCGTTGGCTCCGCCATTTCCATGTCCCTGAGGTGGGGGCCAAAGGGACCGTCCAGATGTCTGGAGAGTTTCTTCGGATTGAGCCTCCCCAGGGGCCCTCAGAGGTCAGCCCTTCCCCGGACAGACGGAGGCTGGAGGGAGCCCTGGAAAGTAAACACTGGGATCCGGGCCTTGCCCGTCTGCCCAAGGGAGACAGCTGGGCCCCTCTGCCCTCCTTCCAGGATGCAGGATGCCACCCTCCGGGGTCAGTGGGTCAGAGAACCAGGGTGACGCTTCTCCGGTCATCAGCCCGCTTGTTAAATTTCAGTGCTGCCTCTAAAGCTGGAAAGCTCGTAAAATAAATACCGTGCAATGGAAGAGTACATAAGAATAAAGTCATAAAAAAGTCAATAAAAGCAGATAAAAGAATCTGCCACGTTGATCTCTGGCTCTCTGACGGGAGACTACCCAGCCCGGCTGGGCCCGGCTTCTGCGCCAGGGAGGGCGTTGGGGAGCTGGGGGACCCCCACAAGGTCACAGGAGGCCTCGGGGTCCAGGGATCCGTGCTCCACAGGGCCCACCTGTGGCTGCTGCTCCCGCCCGGAGCCCCTCGCTTCGCCCAGCACCGTAAAGGGCAACCAGGAACCGGCCGGTTCAGTTGCTCAACTTTCGCACAGTCCCAGGAACTGGGCAAAGGGCGAGAGGGAAACGCCCAGGTGTCCCAATGGCTTCCAGAGGCAGCCAGCCCAGCCCAGTAGCACCGATAGCAGGCAGGCCTGCCGGGCAAGCAGCACAGGTGTGTCTTGCAGAGGGTGTTGACCTCAAGGACGGCAGCCCCTGGCCGGTTCACCTGGGCCCTGACCTCAGTCCGAAGGTTTTGCATCCGGACGGAGGCCGAAAGGTGTGGCGGCGGCTTTCAACCTCCCTTGGCACACAAGACACGATTTTCATAACTTTCTAGGCATTTTTATTCTTTCATCAGTCCCCAAAAGAGGGGAGGGCACCTGCCCCCTCGGGGTCGCCCCTCTGGGAAAGTGGCCCCCTACCTGAGGGTCAAGAGGCTCCCTGCACTGGGGCAGAAATCCAGGCAGGTTGGCTCCGGGGTGGGGGCCACACACAGCACCGCCCAGGAGGACCCCTGCCCAGGATGGCCTGCGCCTCCCCCCCCCACTGGCCAGGAAGGCAAAGGCTGCAGAGATGCCCTTTCCACTGGGGGGGGGGGTTGGGAATCCGCAAAGACCCTGCGGTGGTGGGTCAGCCTTTCTGGGTCAAAAGGGGGTGGGGGTCCAGAAGGACTGCCCCACACCTCACAGCAGAAGGTGAGAGAGCCAGGGAGGGAGAGTAGAGGGAAATATGGGGGGGGGAGGCTCTATGGGGCAGAGGAAGTGTCCCTGCAGCTGGGGGGGGGGGCTGAGCCTGCCAGAGGCACTTTGATCCCCATCCCCCCACAGCTCTGGGCCATCCAAACCAGGGATTGCACCCCCCTCCCCACAGCTCCTCTTGGCCTTTCCTGACAGCTCATTGGCTGTTCTCCAAAGGGCAGGGGGGGCACACCTGAGCTGCCCCCCAGGCAGAAAGGCAAGCACGGAAGGCACATTCTGGAACCTGAGAGATTGGAGAGAGCAGATGAGGAGAAAGACCCCAACTGGGTCTGGTCACCTGCCCAGAGGGGCATTGTGGGCTGCCCCCTTTGCTATCTGATTGTGAACGGGGGGGGGGGGAGGGCTTGCCTTACACCCGAGTAGAACCAGCTGGGACAGCACCTCAGCCTCCCTCAGGAAGAAGCTGAGCAGGGCTATAATTCCCTTCAGGGACAGGGGCGAACTAGGTGCCACAATCATTGCACGTCAGACTTGGGGGACCTTGATGCTCCCACCCGTTTGCAGCTTGGATGCTATGAGAGGGGCAGCAGCAGATGCCCCCTTCCTGGAACCCAGCAGACATTCATGCCCCCCCAAAAACATCAGCCTTGGCTCATGACCCCCCCAGCCAGTCCAGTCCAGCGTCCAGCAAGGGAGCCCTTCCATCGCTCCAGAAACTGCCCCTGGGGGGCAGGAACCTTGTGAGCTGTGCAAAATAAGAGTTGGGCAACAGGAACCAGCCAGCCTCTGTGGATCCCGTGCCCAGCGAGTACCAAGCCAGGGCTGCCCAATTCCCAAGACATGCCCAGCCCCAGGTTTCATGCCAGCTTGATGCCAGCGCTTACAAAGCCTCTGTTGCATTTTGCAGGGGGGGGCATGTGTGGCAGACTGTTCAAGCCAGACCCCTTGTCAAAATACCAGAGGGGGGTTCTTCCGAAGGACCCCTGCAGCAAGAGTGACAGCCGGCCGTGGTTTTGGCCCTCCCAGGCCAGGGCAGCCCCCGTCCCCAGCGGGCAGAGCTCCCCTTCGTCACAAGCTCTGGTAAATCTCCTTCTTCCCGCAGACCAGGTCCGGCTGGTGAATGGCGTCCCACATCACCAGCATCTCGTAGGGCACGAACCGGTGCACCAGGAGCAGCTCCTTGTAGTAGCAGGGGTCGAAGGACTCCAGCTTGGAGGAGGGCACCGTCACGCCCCCCGTCCGGATGCCGATGTGGGAGGCGGGTGCCAGCCCTGCCCGCTGCAGGCACATGCCCAGGTAGACGTCGTCGATGGGGAAGAGCTGGATGCCCAGCGACTGCTGGTAGATGGCGTGGCAGGTGTAGCCGGACATCAGCAGGCCCCCTCCCCCGCAGTAGGACGGGTAGGAGTTGGAGGCGGTGACCTGCTCCGGCACGTAGTACTTGCTCCACTTCTCCCGGATGGGGCCCACGTTGGTGATGAGTTGCCCCACAAAAAGGTGCTGGTCGCCCGCCCCGGGAATCCCCAGCAGGTAGTGGGCCATGTTGTCGGTGTTGGCGAAGACGTCGTCGTCCCCGTTGAAGACGAAGCGGACGGCCGGGCAGCGGCTCTCCAGCCAGGCGTAGAAGAGGACCTGCTTGAGGGTCAGGTTGAAGAAGCTGTCCACAAAGTTCCACTGCAGGATGTCGCCGTGCTCGGCCTGCTCCAGCTGTAGCAGCCGGTTGAGCTTGCGCGCCTCCCGGGCGTTGGCTGCCACCGCGGAGAGGAAGACGCGCCGGATCTGGACGCCGGCAAAGGTCCGTTCCCGCCCCCAGGTTTTGCGGATGATCTCGCGGCGCTCGTAGTTGGCCGGGGAGGACTTGATGGCCAGCAGGAGGAAGACCTGGTGGGAGGCCTCCGGGGGGCCACACTTCCCGGGCAGGTCGAGCAGCAGCGGGAAGGCCCTGCAGTGGCGGAAGCGCAGGAAGTCCTTGATGTGGTCCGGCAGGCCGCCAAAGCCGGAGATGTTGGCCACGGAGGCGTTCTCCCGGCACTCGGGCAGGGGCTCTGTCGCTCTGGGGCTGGGGTCGGCCGTGCGGGGCAGCGGGGTCTCTCCCACCTCAAGGACAGGACTGCTCTTGTGCGACTGGAGGAGGAACAGCAGGCAGGTGAAGCCGACCACGCTGAGGATGACGGTTTCCACCTTGTAGCTCCAACGCCGGGGCATCGTGACCTTGGAAAGAAGAAAGAAGGTTGAACTCACCGCCAGGCGCCTCGCGTCGCCCGGTTGTGAGTCGCAGATTGCAGGGCACAATTGGGAGAGGAAAAGTATCCGGAAAAGTTCACAAATATGCAATTAAGGTGTCATTAAGCTGCTAACACACTGAATTATCATTGCCTTGACAAACAGGAGACAACACAAAAGCTTAGGGAAGCTGACAGGTTTTCCCCACCCAGAGACAGATTTTTATTGTGCCGAGAAAGAAATGCAGCCCCACCCGAGGCGTCTCCCAGGAGCGCCTCTCCCTTGCCCAGGGGGGGTCCCTCCCTCGCCACCCTCCCTTGCCCAGGGGGGGGTCCCTCCCTCGCCACCCCAGAGGGGAACCCTCCGCAGCAGCCCCAGAGAGGAGGGGGCAGGAGAGCCACCCACCCCTTCCTCCTCCTTTCAGGGGCTCAGCCCAGGCCGGGGCTCCCCACAGCCGTCCCGCCTTTTGTCCTTCCCAGATTTTGCGGCAAGGAGCCAGGGGAGAACCGGCCATGGGGCTGCAGGGGGGGTGGCTGGGATTGGCCGGCCGGGGCTCTCCCCTGTCTCTGGTGGACGGGAGCGACTTTTGGGGAGCTAGAAGGGCGCAGAGGGGGGAGAGCAGATGGGGAGAAGGGAAGAGGGAAGAGCAACAGGGCAGCCAGTCCTTAAAATGTAAGACTTTGGGTTGGACTAGAAGACCTCCAAGGTCCCCTTCCAATGCTCTAGGCTGGTGGAAGTCATTTTAAGGCACTCAAATCCCCTGGGGAAAATGTCACATCCCTCTCAGGCTGAGAGAACAAAAAAACCATACAGGTAGTCCTGGTTTAGCAACGGTTCAACGTTACAACAGCATTGGAAAAAGTGACTTATGACTGGTCCTCGTATTTATGACCATCAAAGCACTCCCTCCCCCCCCCCAGCAATCACAAGATCAAAATTTGGGCATTTGGCACCAGGCAATGCTTAGCGTTCGTCCCGGGGTCCCATAATTTGCGACCTTCCCAGCCGTCTCCTAAGGACCACAAGATTCACTTAACAGCTGTAGTGATTTGCTTAACAATCATGGCAACAACGACAAAAAAGATCACAGTCACCTGCAACTCACCTCACTGCCCTGCTTAGCGAGGGAGATTCTGGTTCCAGTTTTGGATGTAAGTTGAGGGTTGCCTGTTATATGATATTATGACAGTATCTGGATGGCTGGTTTGTTACCAGGAGCCCTCTGGTTGGTTTGTTTTTTTTTGGGGGGGGGGAAAGGGGTCTGTAAAAAAATTCTGCACATTCAGCATCATTCCAACCTCAAGACCTCCAAGGTCCCCTCCAGCTCTGTTCTGTATTTCTGTTCTGTTCTGTATTTCTATTCTACTCTATTCTGTAATTCTATTCTATTCTGTATTTCTATTCTATTTCTATTCTATTCTGTATTTCTATTCCGTTTCTATTCTATTCTATTCTATTCTATTCTATATTTCTATTCTATTTCTATTTCTATTCTATTTTTCTATTCCGTTTCTATTCCGTTTCTATTCTATTCTATTCTATTCTATTCTATTCTATTCTATTCTATTCTATTCTTCTATTCTATTTCTATTTCTATTCTATTGTTTTTCTATTCCGTTTCTATTCTATTCTATTCTATATTTCTATTCTATTTCTATTTCTATTCTATTTTTCTATTCTGTATTTCTATTCTGTATTTCTATTCTATTTCTATTCTATTCTGTATTTCTATTCTATTCTATTCTATTCTATTCTATTCTATTCTATTCTATTCTATTCTATTCCATTCTTAAAAGGAAAAGGCTGTTAATTAGAATAGGGCTGGAAGGGACTTTGGAGATCTTCTAGACTGACCCCCTTCACAAGCAGAGGCCCAATCAGATGCTGCTAAGCCCCCCCCCCGGGGCCAAACTGTAGAGGCCGAAAGAGATTTGAACGGGAGACGCTGCAATCCTGCCGGAGTCATTTTGCAATAACTCAAATAACTGGAACTCTGTTGCCAATTAGCTCAGGTAATTAGACTGCGCTGTTTCCAAATCGCAAACGGGGAGCCCATAATCCCCGTCTGGACTTGAGCGGCTTTTGGGGGGAGAGTCGGAGCAGGTGCCAAAAGTCGGAAAAGCACACCACGGGTCCCCCCAGAACTCCCCCCCCTCCTAGGGGACCTGCTGTTTATGTAGTCCTCAAATTACAACAGCTTGTATAGTGACCATCTGAAATGACAAGGCCCCTGAAAAAAGTGACTTAGGCAGGGCCATTTTCCACACTTACGACCGCTGCAGCAGCACACACACACACACACCCCACGGCCAGGCGATCAAAATTCAGGCACTTGGCAACTGACTCACACTTATGACGGTCAGCGCATCCCGGGGTCACATAATCCCCTTTTGCGATGCCTCACAAGCAGAGTCAATGGGGAGGCAGGATTCACTTAACAACCACGTGGTTAGCTTAACAACTGCAACGATTCGCTTAACAACTGTGGTGACCAAGGTCATAAAATGGGGCAAAACTCACTAACAACGTCTCACGTACCAACAGAAATGTTGGGCTCAACTGGGGTCCTAAGACACAGACTGTTCGCATACATGTGTAAACTAGCAATAAAGAACGTTACTGAACTCCGGGATAAATATAAAAACAAACTGTTTTATTATTAAGCTTTCGTCGGTCCTCTGCCGACATCGTCACCCCCCCGGTCAGCCATATTGCTCCTAATCGCGTCGCGTCTGCCTGGGCATGTTTGAGTCCTGGATCTTTCCCCCCCCCCGCCCTCCTTCTCTTCCTTTCTGCCCACATGCGGCTCACCAACGTCATTGCCGAGTCATCCTCCGGGCTTCCCCGTCTTGTAGCCTCGATAAGTTGTTGCCCAATCGTGTACGGTGGTGTTCCTTCCGTCGTACGTCCTGTTTTGCCCTCGCTCGTCTGTTGCTCCTTTCCTGCCACCCAGGTGGATCGTGTTGGCGTCCCCCCCCTCCGCTCGCTGTGGTTTCGTGCTGCTCCATGGGTGGGTGTCCTGGGTCTTTCCTATCCTCCCTCCTCCTATATCTAGGTGGTATTTGTTGCATCCGCTGTAAGTTTTTACGCCATTGCTCATGTTTCCTTAGTGTTTGATACGCCGGCAGTAGATCTATATGTTGGTTGATTGAATACTCATCCGATAGCCAGGCTTCTTTGAGCAAGCGGCCACTCTTTGTAGGGTCTTGGGCAGTGATGGCAAACCTTTTAGACACCAAGTGCCCAAAAACTGCCCCCCCCTGCTCTGCTCTGTGCCCTGCCCACCCCCCTCCCGCCCACAGGGTCACCTACCGCCTCCACAGCCCACTGCAGCAGATTGTCCAGGCGGCCCTGCAGTGCCATGGTGGCCATGCCCTCCGCCCGCGCCCCGCAGCATCTGCATGCAATGGGCACGAGGGCGGAGTCTTGTCCCTGCTGCCCAGATGCCATGTCCTTGGCAGCGCTGCTCCACGTGGGCAGCTCCCGGGGCCTCTCCTCCAGGAGGGCTGATGGTGAGGACGGGGCCACAGGGGGAGGTGGGGCTGGGGCGACGGCGTTCGTGGGTGCCCACAGAGAGGGCTCTATGTGCCACCTTTGGCACGCATGCCATAGGTTCGCCACCACTGGTCTTGGGTCATAGCCTCCGCTCCCGCAAAGTCGAATGAATGGTTGCTGTCAGCCATGTGCATCCACACCTGCGGGTGCTGATCCTGTCGTCTGGCCGCCAACCTGTGTTCATGGACCCTGGTCTTGAGTTGCTTTGCGGTTTCTCCGATGTAGTTGCAGCAACATTCGTTGCACCTGACCTTACACACCACCGATGATCTTTCGTCCTTTGGCAACGGTTCCTTGGGGTGTATTATTTTAGCGCGTAACGTCTGGCTCGGCTTATGCGCTACACTGATGTTTGTAGGGTGCTAATATCCGTGCTGTTGCTTCGGATACCCCACTGATGTAGAGGAGCGTTGTCCAGGCTGTGGTTGTTGGTCTGTTTTGTGTTTCACGGGGCTCTAGGTGCCTGCTGTGTTGCCGGACGAAATCTGCTGGATAGCTGTTGCGTTTGAATATGCGATAGAGGTGGGTCCATTCTTTGGTTTTTGCTTCCCTTGTGCTGCAATGGGTGTTTATCCTCCTAAATAATGTTCAGATGCAGCTGACTTTATGGGACATCCGGTGGTTACTCCCATAGTGCAGAGTCCTCTCCGTGTGTGTCGTTTTGCAATAAACGGACGTGTGCAGGGTGCCTTTGGTTTGGCGGCTGACCAATACATGTACATACCTAAATACAAAAACCCGGCCCAGAAGCGAAGACACCCTGAAGCCCAGAGCAGAGAAAGGGGGGGTGGGGGGGGAATCCAGAGGCCAGACTGGGGAGGAAAGAGGGGAGGAAAGAGGTTCTGGGGACGAAGCGGCCGTCCTCGCAGGGGGGGGCGGGGAAAGGTGGAGCACCCTGCAGAAGGGCAGCAGCCTCGGTGATAAACAATACGGCAAGGGCCAAGCGGGGGGTTTTTTGGGGGGCTGGCCAGAGTGGAAGGCCAGGGACCCCGGCTAGAGGGAGGAGGCAGGGGTGCTCCCCCCTCCCCAGATTCTCTCTCCTCCCACCCACAATGACAGGGACCCCGCAGCGGTGTGGGAGGCCAGAATCCTGGACGGGGGGGGCAGCTGGAGGGGGCAGGGGGGAACCAGGGAGGGCTCTGGGTGGGGGGGCTCTGAAGAGAAGGAAGAGAACACCCCCCTCAGCCTCCTTGCCTGTCAAAGAGGCTCAGAGCAACCGGGGGAAGGAGAGCATTAGCAACAGGAAAGGGGGAGGGCGGCAGCAAGGGGGAAGGCCCGGGAGTTGGAGAGCAGATGCAACCCACAAGTGTGTGTGTGTGTGTGTGTGTGTGCACGCGCGCATTCCCCCCCCCCTTGCAGGGCATCTCAGGGACGGTGGCAGCATCGCCAGGCAAGGTGGCTTCAAGAGCGCTCCCGTCTCAGGCGTG